CGACAAATTCGATTGAATGCTTAATATATTGACAATTCAGGAAAATTATTCATTGTATTTTTGATTGTAGTTTGGGCGTTTGTCACGGCTTTTCGGTGTCATATTGAAAATGTTGTTCTAGGAAATAAAAATCAAGTAAATAATGAACAATTTCTCGCCAACTTTTTTAAAACCCACAATGTGAGAATAAAAATTCTTTCAGATTCAATATGCAAGACAATTACTAACCGTTGGGATAAATTTTACAACAAATTTATCTCTTTGGCGAGTGCAATTAGGAAGATAACCCGTTTCCTCATTGTCAGGCTTTTTCCACTGCACTTGCTCTCATAAATAGAATGGAAAATCTCTGACAATTATTCGAAGAGAATGGTGTTTGACGGTAGAGCGATCAAACGAACCCCTTCCCTGAGCTGTGGAGATTCCACTTCGATAATTTGTCCGCGCAAAAGTCGCGGTATCGTGGACAAGAGAACGACAGAGAGAGAGAGAGAGAGAGGTACGCGGCTAATTTGAGAACGGGACTAGAGCGCATTGCTCCGTTCACGTTATATCTACCTTTGCCCCTGCTTTTTGTGGTAGGCATATATAATGGTATAAAGAGAATACGATTATATATAGAGCCAGAAAATAGGGGGATAAAAGCGGAAGAGAATAGAAGCCAAAAATTTCAACTCGCTGGGCTTTTTGCGATGTCGACAAGCATAATCCGACATTGCCAACCACTATTGCTGACGAACTCACTGTAAATAATTGAAGCTATCCCCAGATCACGTATGACATTAATATCCAACACGGAAAAATCAATGATATCATTTTTTTCAATTACTTAACTCTGAAAAATCACAAATCGTAAACAACAATCAGTGCTTTTTTGCGAGTTCAGTTTTTAGCTCATATCCCGGGATTGAAGGGAGGTAGCGACGTTTTTATATGGACACTTTTTGTGGAGAAAGATGAGAGCTACGAGAAAGGTATTTACGAAAATGTAGGTATTTTCGTTTTTTTTCAAGATATTCGCTGAATACTGTATGATAATATACAGTGGTTTCCATTTAGGGTTTCAATGCCTCTTTTTGCATCGATTAATGCGGTTAATGCGGGAATCTCCTCTGAAATTTTCACATGGTACCTTAATGGTCTTTTCTGGCCCTGGTCAAAGTTTTACGAGTCCCTGTGGCTGGACACGAGGGTACACCGCAAACAGCCGCGTTGAATCGATTATTATTGGCCGAATGGGCGTAGAACGTATACCAGTAACACGCGCCGATATCTATTTCTCCCATATATATACAATTTCACCTCCGATATCCACCCCCTCGCCACCTCAGCCTTTCGACCATTTAATTTCTATTGAAACGGCTATTTCATTCTATTGGCATTATCCAGACTCGTGTGCCAAGTGTGTTTACGTTAATTCACGAATTCTCGGATAATTAGTTTAAACTGTAGAACTCGATATTTCTGTTTTCCCGGGCAATTTCATCTAATCACCTGTAACTGGCTATTCCGGGGTATTAGTGTGGTTTTCGATCTGATTCGAGGGCGGAAGAGAGATTAAAGTATCGCCCCCGTATCACATTACATTGATTAATTATCGGATCAATTCACCTGTAACAGAAATACGCTGTATGGAATTCTCGATTTAATTCAATAAATTTATTGAACGACAAGTTAATTGATTTTACAGTGAATTAAAAATTTTACTCGCTCAATAAAATACCATAATATTACTGTTTCGGGATAATTGCAGGAGGTAATTATTAAATTAATACATTAATTTCATTCGAGATTGAATTTCAACTCGATTCTATTGATTTAAAAGTTATCGAATTACCGAAAATGCAGACCCTCGGATGAACATGCAATCGCGGGATCAATGAATCCTCCGGTAATTGACTGGTTTTTTTGGGGGGGGAGGGTGGGATAATTGGGAAAGTATTCGGTTTAAATTACTGAAAACACATTATTTCTTGATGCCGAATGTTATAAAGCCGGTGCTGGCACATGTGTTATGCTTAGCCAATTATACTCTACTCTCCAATTATTTTGCGAATACAAGCAGCTTAATTATAGGCGAGCGTTAACCGGGTGGCGCCGTTATATATATATGATAAAACAGTTGGACAAGCCACTGTGGGTACATCTCTTACTGGTGTCATATTGAGGGCAAAGGGCTGAAGGGGAAAGGTGAGGTCTGGGCACAGCAGGATTTTCACAGTAAAATCATGTCAGAAAGCCACAGAGTACTCACTCGTCCAGTTCATGTTACAGGATTCACTGACACGTGTTATTACTTCGTAATTATATTTCTGTCTTAACATCCATGGTGGAATTCACACGTGTTAAAGTGTCATATGTTGATGTCTCTCAATGTATTACAATGTTGCGTACTGAGAGAATTCGTGGTATTACTCCGAGCCGGTGTTGCTGCCATTTGGTACAAGTGACTTTACCCTTTACCTTTTTATGGGATGAATTCATTTTTAGGGAATGAAAAAATTAATTAACAAATTCCTCGCATATTTTCGGATATTTCAGTGTTCAATTCAATTCAAGTCACTCGTTTTTTTAAATAATTATGACGGAATAATTTGAGATTTTAAAGATTTTAAAAATGCCGCACTTTCTTTCAGTACCGACTTCATGTGACTCATTGATCAATCGGAATTGAGGAACGGTGGGCGGACATTTTGATGTGCAAAGAGGCCGTCATCTTCTTTAATCCGAAATCAGGGGGATCAAAGACGAAAATATAGAATGAATGATGAATAATAAAAGATGATGATCGTAACGACTGAGATAATACCCAATCTGAAATTGGGACAGAAGTCGATAAAAAATGAAACCCCTCGAAAATAATTCATGATATTTACATTGTTACAGCCAAAACCCATAAAAATATTTTGTCTCTGTACCCAGTGCAATACCACGGTGTGTCCAAGACGGAATTTCGCCCCCTCGCACTTTCTCTCCCCTATTTCCTAGTTGTACTCTGGCATTCAGGGTTCTTGGCTCGATTTCTATTCATCTCGAAAAATAAAGGCGGTACCCGATCGCGAGTTCCGATAGCCATGAATATCTTATCTGCATAATATCTTGCTCGCTCGTTCAGCCCCCTTCCCTCCACCACCATTTTCTTTAGAGTCCCGTCGGCACACAAAATGGCACCCACACCCGCGAAGGTTTCAGCTGGAAACGAGTAGTCCGAGAGCTCCACATGCTTCCAATCCAACACACACGCCTCTTTCACCACATCTTCTCTCACTCCTGCATTTTCTTTTACGACTCGCATTGTCCTCGTGAGGATGAGAGAGACACACTAGGGCTGAGTTTCTCCCATGGCCGAGGAGATTTGTCGCGACGCCTTGCGTACTCTCTCGTGAATTTACTCTCACAGGATAATGTATTGCATTCCCGCAAATGTTACCGTTCACATAGGTTTATTTTATTTTTCCAACTCATGTACCCCACTTCTCCCTTCGTCTCTACGTCTGCAGCCATCCAGTTTGGTGAGATGAAAAGAAAGTAAATACGAGGGGAATATTTTCGTTTATGATGTGATCAATCCTTGGGCGTCGGAAAAATTGACAATAACGCTGGAAAGTTTAAGCTATTATAGGACCACACGGTCATATACAGAAATAATATTCGAGATGAAGAAACATTTTTTAAACGATCTGAGCTCTTTTTTTTATCGGGCTATTCCATTTTTTTTTTATGACAACACCTGCTAAATTCGTAAAGACTTCCACTAGAAGTGAATATTATATTTAAAACATGGAAAATTATTTTATTTTATAACATTTTCAAGCTCTCTTCAGTCCACCTGTCCATTACCCCAGGCTCTCATAATTATTAATTAATATGTATTAATTATATGATATTCATTATTCTATTTGGATTTGAAGGAAAAATTTTCTCAATAACTCGGAAAAATTGTGCAGTTAAATTTCAAAAAATGATCTCGGTGGAAAAATATGAAAAATTTCAAATTGCACAGCTTATTCTTGAGGATTGCTAATATATCGTCTTGACCGGATGAAGACAAAAAAAGTCATCGGAATATCATGTAGAAATGTGTCTTCCCCAGAATTGCTCATTAGTCAGCGCATTCAGAGAGGGATTGAGAAGATATGTGTGATGCATGTGTGAACGTGTCTGGGTCAGGTGCATGACTCCAATTGCTGTCCCTTTGGCGCCATGCAGAGACAGGAAGAGAGCAGCTGGTGGTGCAGGGAGAGGAAGAGGAAAAGTAGGAACAGAGGAACCCAGAGGGGAGATTACCATTTGGAAAGAACACAAATCTCCACACCATGTGGAGACCTCCACAATTTTTTTCTGCGCTATCTGAATTAGCTATTGACCCGGGTAAAAAAAAAATTGTAATCGAATTATTTTTTCCAAATTTTCAAAAAATTTCTGGAAAACTTTTTATAATTTTTTTTTTAATTAAAAGAAAATTTCCTATTCAAATTTTTGAAAAATTCTTCAAAACCTTTACGAAAAATTAAATTGTTTTGTTGTCCGATTTTTTTTCGTTTCATAAAAAAAAATTTCTGAAAAGTTTTCCAGAAATTTTTGGAAAATTTGAAAAAAATATTCCCATTACATTTTTTTTTACCCGGGGAGTCGCCACTTCCGATATTTAAATATTCATGTTGACTTCGTTTTATTTTAATTTATTTAAATTTCTAAGCTCAACTTTTTGAAACACAATTTTATTGGCGGTTATTGATAATTGTATAATTGTTGTTTAGGTCAAATTCTGAATGAACATTTTGGAAAATTTTTTTAGAGTGGAATTTGCAGTCTGTGCTGTCATACGATGGGTACATTGTAATTACGACGTGTGTCTTTTACCCCCTCCTTTTTGTTTTAGGCTTTAGACTGGGGTAACGCTCCCACACTCCTTCGTGGTTGGGTTTATTGTTGGCGAGGGGCCTCCACACATTTTCTTCAGTCCGCACTCAGTATTTCGTACGCATCCTAACCGGTATCACGTGTTTTTAATCAACTAATTAATTGACTGTTTGTTTTCTAGTAATTGTTGATGTGTTCTGTCGACCTGGCCTGGCGTACGTCCGTCCGTCAAAAATTTTTATTGAACTTTCCAGGTTTTCACCGGGAACTATCAATCTCGTGAAGGAAAATTGATGGAAAAATTTGTCCTGAGGTTCATTAAATGTTGAGAGAAATCGCAGCATTAATTTCTCTCTTTGTCGCTAGCAGCTCCACCGGAATTCAGTTTTATTAATTTTTGCCTTAAATCGAGTTCAATGCAATTTTCGGGAAATAAAAAATTCGGAAAATTTTTGAGTGCAATGTGAGGAATCTTGTCTATTGGTGTGACAATTAGAGAGAGGGATATTTTCGTGTTTTCGAGAGGAAAGTGAAAATTCGAGGATTTCATACACCACTGAGTCGTAGGTACGTCTGCGAAAACTCGCGTAATTTTTTTTTTAATTTTAATTGAATTTTTTGTGTTGTCCTGAAAGGAGCTTCTCAACGGTGAAATAATTCCGAAGAGAAATTCAAAATAAAATATTTCCACTGAAATTCTGATGATAAATCGCGTAGACAATTATGACTAGAAGTCGAACCCAAATTTCCGTGAAAAATTTGGGTGAATGATGAATTTCCAAAAATAATTCATCAGGAAAATTCAGCTTAACGATTAAGTTTCGGTGGATTACTCGATACTTTCTGCGGTGCCAAATGCGATAATTGGGGTAATGAAAAATCCCCGTAAACCAGAATGACGATTCTTCAAGCTCTGCAAACAATAACGAATGCCTTAATTAGTTGACAAAACGTAGAATAATTCGAATCACAACCAAACAAACTTTAACCCAGCGGTAATTCACATTGAAATAATGAACACATTTGCCGGTGCACACGCGTGTACACATTATTTACTCGGTTTGTTGTTTGCCAAATAGGACTGGGGGAGAGAAGGACAAACCGGGGATACTAACCAAGAGGGGTTTGTTTCAGCAAACGGCACTTCCGAACAAACTC